CCCCCCCGAGCGGGGGCTGGGTGGTTAGCATCTACACTGGTTTCTAAAATGGGTAATTGTGCTTTGACTCATGCACCTCTCCCCCCATTCCCTGACCCTCAGGTGACTTATTTCTTCCTCTTTGGATGTGTAAGGAAATGACCTACGTCAGAGCCGCTGCTGTTTCAGACCAGGGCAGACTGCTCTTGTGTAACGACTCGGTGGTGGTTCAGAATAAAGCCTGGGGCGCTCATATCATCCTCCTGCTCCCCAGGAAAAGAAGGGGGCCCTCACGGAGGAGATGGCCTCGGGGCGGGAGATGCTCTGTGCTGGAAGCTTTTAGGGTCAGTCACTAGCGTTTCCTTCAGGCGGCTGAAGGGCAGAGGCGTCGGGGTCGGTTGGCCTCCTTCCAAACTTGGCTCTGCCGTTGTTTAGCTGTGAACTTGGACTCGTGACGTTCACCTTTCTCAGCCTCAGTTTCTTCGTCGTGAAGATACCGATGATAAGATCTGCCTCGCCGGGTGCTCGTGAGGATCAGACGAGACGTCCCGAGTGAGAACAGCCTCAGCCCAGCGTGGCCCGACCCGCGGGCTGTGCCAGTGCTGACCCTCAGACGACTGTTTTCCTTGGCCGAGTCACCATTGATGGTGACTCCTGTCTAGCTGGGAGCTGGATTGAGTTTCCCGTGTGGCAGGCTCTGTGCCAGATCCAGGGGACACGGTGGTGACCAAACTATATATGGTCCCTACTCTGTGGAGCTTTCACTCCACAGGCAGGACAGGCGGTGGGCCCAAATCCACGTAGCCATCGGGCTGTGAGGGCAGAGATGTCGTTGATGGTAGAGCCTCGAGACCTGATTAGATGGGAATGGGGGCGGGGGGTTGTCCTTTAGGGCTCTGCAGGTAACTGAGACTTAAACTGAGGCCCGTAGGATGAGTGGGAGCAAAGTAAGGAGAGGGGACGGCTCTGTGCCAGGAGAATCGCGGTCCCTTCTGGGGACTAAATAAAGGCCAGTGCGTCTGGGACAGGACACAGGGCGAAGGTGTCAGGGGAGGCTGGTGAGATAGCCGCGGGAAGGTCCCGGAGGGTCCTGATGGCCATTCGAAGGAGGTGGGCTTTGGTCCCAAGTGCCGTGGGAAGTCACTGAAGTTTTATGCGTAGAAATGCTCGGAACAGGCTTGCGTTTTGGAAAGACCATCTAGATGTTGTGTTGACAGTGAAATAATGGGGTTAAGACGGGAGTGGAGAGACCAGTACGTCGTTGGAGGTGACAGAGGCTCGTCCTGGGGCAGTGGCTCAGGAATGGATCAGATGTAAGCGGTTTCAGCCGTGAACTGAGGGCCTTGGTGTAGTTCGAGAATAAGACAGGTGGTGTGGAGCCCTGAAGAGAGTGGTTTGGCGAACTTTAGGGGAACACTGGCGTCTCGGCCCTTTGGGCCGCTGTAACAGAATGCCCTACGCTGGGCCGCTTGTCGGCCACAGAAGTTTATTTCTCACAGTTCCGGAGCCTGGAAAGTCCAAGGTCAAGGCACTGCCAGACCGAGTGTCTGGTGATAACTCGCCCTCTGGTTCGTAGTCGGCTCCTTCTTGCTGTGTCCTCACGGGCAGAGGGATGGGGGAGCTCTGCGCGGCCTCCGTTATAAGGGCACCAATCCCCTGTACGAGGCTCCACCCTCGGGACCTAAGCTCTTCTCAGAGGCCCCGCCTCTTAATACTGTCACCCTGGCAGGGAGGGGAGGGGCGATTGGACGTTTGAATCACGGGGGAGGCACAAGCGTTTGGTCTGTAGCAACTTCTATGATATTTCATGTTAAGAAATTTGCATTCATACTATAAAGAGAGCCAGTGGAGGCAAAGAAGCAAGGAGGTGAAATAATTAGGTTAGCGTGCTCGTGGAGGGCGTCTCTCTCTCCTCGCCCGCTTCCCGAGCCAGGCGTTTATGGAATTTAGGTGATAGATGGGAGCAAGCGTCCCCATGACTGAAGGCACAGTCGGTGGCAGGCACTCTCTTCTGCGCGACACACGGGAGCAGTAGGAGGGGCCGGCTCCGCTTGGCAGTGGGAAGGTTATTCCTCTTGAGCGCACTCCACCCTGACGCCGCGTAAACCTCCTCTCGGCCAGGACCCACTTCTCACTCCCCGGGAGGCAGCAGGGGCCTGGGTAGAAGCGAAGGAGGGACCGCGGGTTTGGAAACAATAGCAGTGTCGTATGTGGGAGGGGAGGGGTTTATAACAGTGGTAAAGGGACCAAAAATCATGGGCGGAGGAAGGAGAGAGACTGTGTAAGGGGAAAGCTCTCCCTGCTGGTAGGAGCAGGGTGACATCAGCACAGTGTTCTCCGCCTAAGAGGCCCCACGGCCACCGAGAAGCTGGGGGGCCCCAGAGAGTGGGAAGCCTTCCACAGACCAGCTCTGTGCGCTGGGACAGGACGTCTTTGCGCGTCTGGACGCTCCATCCCTGGCTGGCAAGGGGCGAGGTAACGTAGTGTGGATGGGACCAGCTTTCCGTCTCCTTCCTCGGGATCCGTGTGTTTAAGATGCGTCCACCAGGAGTATTTGAAAGGCTGTCTGTCCACAGCGATGGAGATGGACATGGGAACAGTGGGGAAGGTAGAGCCTTTGGGGGGTTAAAAAAAAACACTTAAACAAGCTTCCTACCTCTATGAAGAAGGTACTTTGTTAGCCTTCCTTGCTGTGCCGTAAGGGTAACACTAAGTCAGTCGCGCCATTTGAATGCCCTTTTCTGTCCCTCTGTGTTCGTCCCTCACCCTGCGCCCGCCTCAGTTTGGCGGTGCTGATGGGAAGCATTCCCTCGGGGACTGTGATCAGACCTGTGATTGGCCTTTTTCAGGTGACGGAACTCAACAACGTGAAGAGTGTGGCCCGGTTGCCCAAGAGCACCAAAAAGCATGCCATCGGGATCTACTTCAGTGACGAGACCTCCAAGACCTTTGCCTGTGACTCAGGTTCGTGGGAGGCAGGGAGGGCTTTGGCCTCAGCTTTGAAGCGGGCGCTGGGCTCACAGGGTCATTTTTGGACATTCCCGCAGATCTCGAGGCTGATGAGTGGTGCAAAGTGCTCCAGGTGGAGTGCGTAGGGACTCGGATCAATGACATCAGCCTCGGAGAGCCCGACTTACTGGCTACGGGGGTTGAGAGAGAACAGAGTGGTACGTAGAGAAATCCTCTCCTCTGCTCTTGTATATAATTGTTTCGTTCCCATATAATAAAACATAATATATCTTGATTATGTAAAATTTTTGAAGTTATAAAAAATATGTATATGTAGAAGCAAAAATAACCTTCTATTTCCCCTAAAACCTGTGTTAATATTTCAGTGTATTTTCTTAATATGTTTTTGATGCATAATATAAATATATCTACGTTAATAACATCAGCTAGAAATTGGGGGAGCCTGCTCTGTGCTTGTTTCTGTGGAAGATGCGTGAGATGACTTGGTTTTCCCAGCAGCCCTAGGACGTAGCAACTGTTACTCTCCCATTTTACAGATGAGGAAACTCAGGCTAACTGTTACTCTCCCATTTTACAGATGAGGAAACTCAGGCTTCAAAGAGCTTAAGCTCTTACTCCAGTTCCAGTAGCTGGTGTTCGATTCCAGGCCATGTTTTCGGGCCTGTATTTAGAATGTACAGATAAAAAACAGCGACCTGCGTTTGTGTCTTGACTTTATCACTTAAAATTTTTATTGAAAGCCTCCCGATGTTTTTTAATAGAATCCAAACTTTATGACTACTTCACCGAGTTGAAACCCATCTAAATCTGTGATATTTTTCCCCTTCTACTGAAACACTTGAGCCAACTCTTGGAGCTCAGCATTCAACCTGGGAATAAATCACTTTAAGTAATAATCACCAAAATATTCATGAACACTTCAGCCAAAAAAGTAGTGTTGGTTTACAGCACAAGCCCAGAGGTGAGGATCACTTCTTTGTCTTCAACTGGCCGAGCCCCGCGACAGGGCCGATCGGACCCCGGGGTTCCGCGTTAGCCGATTGCATTGATCCCTGCGGCTCTGCCACACCCCAGAGGCTGCGGGTCACCTGGCTCAGCTAGGAGCCAGGCAGAGGCAGTGTGGGCCTGCGGCTCTCCCTGGGCGCACACTCCAGTTGTCATTAACGGCACCCCCCCTTCCAATGGGACCTACGTCTTCATGACGCAGTCACAGTCTAGGGCTACTCGGGAGGCCCGGGCCTGCTGCAGTTCACCTTTGCTGCAGACTTAGAAGCGCAGGCTAATTGGAAGGAGCCTCATGTAGACAAGGAAGGTGAGCTGCAGAGAGGTGGCCACGCGTCAGGGTCAGGCAGCCAGGCCAGTGCCAGGCCCCTTTCTGTGGGTCGCTAAGTCGGGATGCACCTGGGCTGGAGGATCCACCATCCTGTGCCTCACAGACAGATGTGCTTGAAGCCAAACAGAGAGAAGAGAACATGGCAGGTTCGGGCTGTTTTTAAATGTAGGGCGCTCCCATCAGCACCTGTTTCTCACACGTTTATATTTGTGACGCTGCACCCTGATGGTGCTACCGGCTGAGTTCAGGAAGTGGCTGTGCCTCAGTTTCCTCTCCTGTCAAATAGGAATGAGAACACATCCTTTGGTAGCTACGTATCAGGGATCATTATGAAACTCAGTTCGGTTTTTCAAGGCACTTTACAAGATGAATGTGCATGACTCCGAGTAATTGTGGTAGAAGTGGTCACTCTCAGCACTGTAGCTGTTGTCATTCTCAAGCTAGGTCGTCATAAAAGAACCTTTAAGCAAATAGACTGCTCACGGTCTCCCTTACTTTCTAGTTAATGATGACTGTCTTTCTTAGTTGTTCCAGCAAATATTTGGTTAGAGGAGTTTGGAATAACTCAGAAAGCTTGAATAATAGACGCGTGAATGCATTTCACAAGTGCAACCCTGACACTCCTACTCACTAAATTCAACTAAAATCTATGAAAATTCTCATGACATCTTTACTATAAAATAACTAACAAGAATGACATCAGTACTATTAGTGCCCCTGCTTTGTCAGACGTGCGCAATCCACCGTAGCGACGGGTGGGTAAAAATGTGTTTGCTGCAGTCATGATGTTTTTGTTCCTATTTCACTTAAAGATTTTTGACTCTGTAACTTCTTAAATTAATGAAATTTCTAAAAATATAATAGAAATGTCATGATTGTGCCTGTAGGGACAAAAATTTGGTTGCAGTAATAAGCCAAGAGCTGTATTTTGAGTAATCTTAAATTTTTTAACAGTCATCCCTACAAGCAAATGAATATTCTTTCCGGTATATGGCTGAAGACAGCTCACTGTTAAAACTAGTTCAAATGTATCCATTGGCATTTTCCCAAACTGCTGGTCCGCTAGGTGCCTGGTATTAGGGTTGAGTTGCATTTAAACAGCCTGGGATACAATTGTATATTCATCTAGTTATGAGAATGATAAGTCGATCGATACAACTGTAACATCATTAAACCACGTGACAGTTGTTTCGCACCTGCATCTCCTGTGAACACAAAAGTGTGGGTGTCGTGAATATGCACTTGGCAGGGAAAAAATGTTTTTAATGGTTTCATCGCTTTAGCCTTTTATTGGCGTACACTCTTCTATTACGCAAATTTAAAAATTCTAAAAATGGTCTTTGCTCATTGAAACAGTGTTTAGTGTATGTTGTCAGCCAGGCTGTCTCATTACTATGTGATTTAATACGGTCTTCGTTTTAAACACCATTTTCTGGGGCTGTTCAGTGATGAGAAGGGTTGATCTTCCCGAGTATTCAGTCAAAAGCTAGACGACAAGCTTGAATTATTTTGAAATGCCTCTTTGTTCCTGCGATGTCTTTGATGTTTTATTTCTGGGCATTTTAGACTAACCTTTTGTTTTTCTCCCAGAGAGATTCAATGTGTATTTGATGCCATCTCCTAACTTAGATGTCCATGGCGAATGTGCCTTGCAGATTACATATGAGCACATCTGCCTTTGGGACGTCCAGAATCCCAGAGTCAAACTCATCTCTTGGCCGCTAAGCGCCCTGCGGCGGTACGGACGAGATGCTGCTTGGTTCACTTTTGAGGCCGGGAGGTGAGTCGCGGTGGTTTGCCCACGTTTTCCGCCAGGCGCCCGTCGCCCGAGGCCTGGGTTTCCCTGGGAGGCCCCTTGCCCCGCGCTTGGGCTGATGCACGGAGCCGTGACCTGCAGTGTTAGGGCCAGGCCGGGAAACACCCATGTGCTAAGCGTGGCTTGCTTTCCCACGGGCCACTCTCATGTTTCGTGAGTCCCATATGAATTTCTGTGACGTGGTTTGATTTCATCCCCCAGACTGAGGTTGAACTCGGTAAAAATGTGTCATGTACTGGGCCAGGCTGAGCAGAGGCTAGCTCCTGGGCTTTGGGAAGCTCCCGTGTTATTCTACGTAGGTTTCCTCGCCTGAGCTGACTGCGGTCCACTATCCATAAGAGGCCACTGACATTTTCTGGAGTTGTAGCTGGTTGAGTTCCACCTGTTTTTCGCACACGGAAGCGAATGACGCTAATACTGGAAGAGGTTGATTCTAGAACGCGCTCATTGGAACGCCCAGCAAGCGCTTTCAGAGCCCCCCCTTTCCTTTCCGAAGTTAATCCGGGACAGAGCAAATGGCACCCCAGCATTTGCGTCCATCGTTAGCTACAGAGAGATTAGTCTCATCTCATCGGTGTTTCATTTCCTTCGCCCCCACCCTTCCTTCCTCAAATGTAGGCCCTAGTTTTGAAACACTGCATATTAATTTTATATTTTAGAAATTTAAATGATTACTTTTTAAGAAATACAAGTCCTGTATATGGCCTGACGTTGCATTACAGTTGAAAACAAGTTGTTACTTAAAAAGTAACTGTGTGTCCAGGTGGACAGGAATATAGTTGACACAGGAGAGTAAACCGAGATCCACCTGGATACATGACAGTGATGCTCCACTCTAATCAGTCTAAGCAAAGCCCAATTATATAAAATTTGCTTTTCAGAAATATCACTTTGATGCTCTTACCAACATTCTAGGAAGTTTTAAAATTCTTCTTTCCCATACAGCTCTTCTCTGGTCCATTTATTTTTGAGTTCCTTAAGCGAATCTCAGGTAGAGTATAATTTCATGTACAGCACTGAGATGCCATAAAGGAGCCAATGAATCTCCTGGAGACTGCAAAGGTCCTCACATTAAAAAATAACACTTCAGTCTTCAGAGTAATGTTCTTCTGCTGTCAGAATTACGTATTTATTATCCTAATGGGAAAATTGCTATATAGGAAAATAAGACTTTGTTTGGGAAGGTGGGTATATTTTCCTGTTTGGGTCTCAGATATTATTTATGTGTTAATAGTAACCAGTGAAATGAAAGTATAAAAATGTTTTATAATAGACTTTTCTATTGACCTCAAACCCATATCCTTCCTGCTGTTATTTCATATCGGCACACAGGAGAATTCTGCATTGATTAGGACATTTGGGGCCCATTTCGGGCAGCACTTATTCAAACATGAATATTTCTCAATTGCTATTTATTATCTATAGGAAACAGGAATAAGACAAGTGTGTGCTTTTTAAATCATCATTTCTGAAGGCTAAAACCTTAGTAAACCTTCATAGTATCTCATGACTATTTGAAAATTTTTTTGAAATTATCTTAATATTGCAAGTTTTACTACTAATATCTTCCTCAAGATTCACTTACTCATATTGAGATCTGGTTGAACTTCTGAGGCCCTAAGATTGCTTTATATAGACTTTTATTTTTCTCCTAAGTCATGGAGGAAACCGTAGAGGTTTTAAAGCAGGTATGTTTGTGTGCGTGCGTGTGTGTGTGTGTATGTGTGTGCGCGCTCGCTCACAGGTGCCCAATCATGATTCTCATTTGTAAACAACAGGATTCAGGGCACAGATGTAGACCTGGAGAGATACCGAAATAGTTCAGGTGAAAGAAATGGTGGATAAAAACTGTGGATGTATTGGGGACATAAATTTCAGAATTATCCAATGCTCTTTGACCAAAAGCTATGAAATGCTGTCTTGGAAAATGAAAGAATTTTGGCTCCATGACCTTGGCCTCCTCATGGTCTGACCTTTCGGGCACTTCTTCCAAGAACTCCAGCACGGAGGTGACTATAATACCCACGACCCATTCCACACGGTGTTGTGTCTCAAATAGTGCAGGGACGTAGACTGTTCTTTGGGTTTGAAGGGCATTTGTATTCAGTGCCATGCTTCGTGGGGCTGGTGCAAACTGGAGACTGAACGGTCGCTAGGACAAGTATTGGGATTGTGTCCTTAGGATCTCTCTCATTTCTCAGCCAGCGTGGCTGTGGAGGGACACGGGTTCAGGAGTCAGAGACCCGGGGTTCTAATCTCTGCTCTGTGTTAGCTGTTGACCTCCGACACAGTGCTTACCTTCCCGCGTATGTTTACCCAGGGAGTAACTTCCTTGCAGGGTAAAAGCCGAAATGCATGCAGATGACCTGGAAGGTGCTGGGCTTCTCCCACATCGCATCTCTGGTATTTTATTATGATCCCTTTTGGAGCAGGTCTGGCTTTGCAGGATGCAGGCAGTGTTAAGCACAAGGTTATATTACTATTTTATGTTTTTCCTGAAACTCAAATGAAGATGGATTTTTATAGTTACCATCAAGATGCTCAGGATAAGGTCATTCGTGTTCCCCGAAGCGTGAAGGTTTCATATCTCCTTGCTTTATTAGTGAAAGTAATTTTTTCCTGGGCCCCTTTTTGGATGTGTTCAAAACAAGGCAGTTTTGTATTAAGTAATATAATTTCCTCTCTGTCTCACATCGCTAAATGAAGAGGAGCTACATCCCTCTAGGCGAATCATTTTCACATGTCCAACAGCCAGTATTTCTGTTGGGGACCCTGGGAATGTTGTCAAGGACCTTGGGGCAACTTCTCATCTGGAGCCTCTGCTGTAGGTGGAGCTGAGTGTTGTTCCCATACAGTGGCCCCCACCCCACCCCACTGAGACCCACAGTGGGCGCTGTGATGAACTGGGCTGGGAGCTGGATAAAACTAAGTTAAATTTTAGTTCTGCCGTATACCGGCTGTGGGACCTTGAGTGAGCCGCTCACCTCCTGAGCTTCCACAGGCCACCTGTAACATGGGTGTAATATAACACGTATCTCACAGGGTTGCCATGGAGGTTAGTACATGTACAAACACATGTCTTAATGCTGGCATGGAGTGGGCGGTTGTATCAGCCCCAACTGACATGAGCAAGACAGAAATTCGTTGGCTCACACCCGAAGCCCAGGGAACGGGGGTGACTCAGGCTTGGCTTCATTCAGGGTCAACGAGGACCCTCGGTGTCACCTCGGTCCTATTTCTTCTAGGGTGGCTTCACTGTGGCTCCACCTGCTGGCTTCTAGGAGCTTTGGGATGTTCTCATACCATCAGCCCCTGGAAGAGATGAATTTCTGCCATATGTTGACCATGACATTTACAGCGTGTCAGGCCCTGCACCGAGCGCTTTGTGCAAAGCCCACAGGGTGTGAACTGGAGGGGGACAGTTCTCCCAAAGCAGGAAGGGGGTACTGCTGCCATCAGAAAGGGAATGAATGTGAGGTTTAAAAACAAACAATAAAATGTGTCCAATACAACATTTAATAATTGCTGAAAGCAAGTGGGCGAAGCCACTGACCGTGATTAGCAATATCATTCAGAAAGGTGCTGAGATACTGAACATTGGCTCTCAACCAGGGCGACGGCTCCCAGGGACATTTGCAATGTCTGCAGACGTTTTTGCTTGTCCCTGCTGGCATCTTGTGGATAGAGGGGCCGGAGATGCTGTAACCTACGCTTGTGAACAGTCCTTCACAACAGAGAATCATCAGGTCCAGTTATTCGATTGAGAAACTCTGCTCTTGTAGGTGTACCCACCATTGAAAATAATCACTAATAATCTGGCCGGTGTGGCTCAGCGGTTGAGCATCGACCTAGGATCCAGGAGATCGCGGTTCAATTCCTGGTCGGGGCACATGCCCGGGTTGTGGCTCGATCCCCAGTGGGGGCTGCAGGAGGCAGNCCATTGAAAATAATCACTAATAATCTGGCCGGTGTGGCTCAGCGGTTGAGCATGGACCTAGGATCCAGGAGATCGCGGTTCAATTCCTGGTCGGGGCACATGCCCGGGTTGTGGCTCGATCCCCAGTGGGGGGCTGCAGGAGGTAGCTGATCAATGACGACTCTCATCAGNCAGCTGATCGATAACTCTCTCATCATTGATGTTTCTCTCTCTCTCTGTCCCACTCCCTTCCTCTCTCTGAAATCAATAAAGATGTATAGAGAAAAATGAAATAATCACTAATTTTATTTATTGAATCCTTACTAAATGAAAATCACTGTACTAAGCATTTTATACCCACTGTCTCATTTAAGCCACTCGGTGATCATATAAACTAGGGAATATTATTATTTTTTATTTTTATTTATTGATTTTGAGAGAGGAAGGGAGAGAAAGAAAAGAGAGAGAGAAACATCGGTTTATTTCCATTTATTTATGCATTTATTGGTTGTGCGTGCCCTGACCTGGGATGAACCCGAAACCTTGGTACCAGACTGGAAAATAGAGGATTCAGGAGTCACACTCAGATCTTCTTACTTCCAAACCCTAGAGATTTCTGAAAAGGCTAATTATTACCATTCTGCAGGCAGTTAGCCTAGTTCTTGTTTTTCTTGGCTTTTTTGGGGTGACGTTGGTTAGTGTAATGGTGCAGGTTTCAGGCAGCTCTGCAGCACATCAGCTGTACCTTGTATCGTGTGTTCCCCACCCAAGTCCAGTCTCCAGCTGAGGAAGGAGCCTCGTTCTTAGTCACCTTCTGCGGAGCCGAGGAAGAAAAGGGAAACTTCATAACCAGGGCTCCCTGAAACCGCGGGGTGTGGTCTCGTCAGGGTATCACCCGTGTTACCTAAGCCCAGACCACGAGGAAGTTGTCCCTCAGCAAGCAGCACACTTGCCAGATGCTGGTCCTTTGACCGGGCCTCCTGAGACCTCTGCTGTGTACATTTGCCTAGTTTGCTTTAGTTCCGGAACCTTCTCTCAGCTCTTTGGG